TTCACACCCTTTGCATTAATATTTTTTGAATCCTTAACTGGTTATTTATACAGATTGTGCTGGCTTAGTCATGTCATTGTGAGTGTAGTGGTACCAAGTGAGCCTTCAACAATGATTTGTATAAAATAACTAATTATAATCTTATTTTCCAAAGTGTTGTGTGAACCACTTGCTCCAAGAATGTAGACCACAAAAATAAAGGAGTCTATGTATAAGCAAGGTTGGAGCCTCTTACTCATAGTTACCGTGAACATGTTCAAGCATCCAAAGTGTTTCGCATTAGAAAAACTAATTTTGTTTAAATCAGCATTCATACTGAGGATCTTTTTTGCATGCGCCCCCTCTTACCTCCTAGTTTGCTGGAAGGCTGTTTTTAAAGGAATATAGCAGGAGTTCTAGAGCTAGCTTTCTTAGTAGGGTTTACAGTTTTCTCTTTGCCCTGCCAGAGGAAATGTGGCATGCTGTTTCTCCTCTGAAGGCCTTGGGTCTTGATATTGCCTGCTTTCCCTTGGTCTAGTTTCCTTTGAACATGGCCTAGCACCCAGCCTCTGGCTGGAAAGTCAGTGATAAGAAGCCATGAACAGAGAACTGGGCACCTCCCCTCAGAGTCTCAGGTCTTTTCTGACTTAGCAGAGCTGGACTTTCATCATTGGGCTATACTTTGAATAAACACATCCTCAAGAATTCAACAAAAATGAAAACATCCTTGGCAAGTGGTGGAAGTGGGAGGAAGTTGGGAGACTTTTGTTTTTGCAGTTTCTCCTCTTTTCTCTCTTTAGCTCTTGCCATCTCAATGCCTGGCGACTTAAGAACTTTTCGTTTATTTCTTTGCTTCTTGGATTTTATGATTTTGAGGAGTTAGTAATAAAGGTGTATAAAGCATTAGTGATAACTTCAAGCCTAAAGCATATGCTACTCACCCTCAGCTAGATTTAGTGTGTTTGCTCAGCTTTGCTTGGCTTTATGTTATAAAAGCACTTTTGTCAACTTTGAATAGCAAAAACACTTGGGAAGGTGGCCATATGGGGCTATAGTCTGATTTTTATGCTCATGCATATGGTGTCAGGGTAAAACCCGAGAATGCTGTTGCACTGGCCCTGGCTTTTTAACGAAGTCTTACGACAGATGTGTTCTTGGACGCGTGGGGTCTATTTAGCACATAGGGAGGTGTCAGCCACACTCATCGTGAGGATTTCTCAGACCCTCTTCACCTCATATTCACATTTCTGGGGGGATTTTGCCAAGTGCAACATGGAAAACAAGATAAATGAATCCTTATGACAAAAACTGTTCAGTGGGGTCTCAATCAGATTGCTTCTTGTATGTCTTGTTTCTTTAGTACTGTTGAGATGATGATGTTAGGTGTGCCACTTACAGAACACACCAAGTTCCAGACACCTTGCTAGGAAGTTTACCTATACTGTCCCATGTCATCCTTGCAACGTTGAAAATGGTTAAATGTTATCCCTGCCCTCATGATGAGCAACCAGGGACTCCGAGAGACATGTTTAAGCTTTCCTGACCACTTAGTAGGAAGCATTCTAGGATGCAGGAGCAGTTGAGTCCTGTTGTTGGTGACAGGCATTTTAGGCAGTAACTGTTGCTGACTTTTCTTTTCTTTTTTTTTTTTTGAGTTGGGGGTCTCACCCTATTGCCCAGGCTGTAATGCAGTTCACCGTAACCTCGATATTCTGGGCTCAGGTGATCCTTCTGCCTCAGCACCACCATGCCTGATTCATTTTTTGATTGTTTGTAGAGACAAAGTCCTGCTATGTTGCCCAGGCTGGTCTCAAACACGTGAACTCAAGCAATCTTCTTGCCTCAGCCTCCCAAAGTGCTGGTGAGCTACCATGCCTGTTGCTGACTTTTGGTCACATCTGCTTGTGCTTTAAGCTGCCAAATGATTTATCATATGATGCTCTGGAGAAGGCTACTTTCATTTAAGGCAACGTTCCTTTAAATAACAAGCTCTTGGTATCTTTATTTTTTTTTTTAGTCAGAGTCTCATTCTGTTGCCCAGGCTGGAGTGCAGTGGCACGCTCATGGCCACTGCAGCCTCCACCTGTTGGGCTCAGGTGATCTTTCTGCTTCAGCTTTCCAAGTAACTGGAACCACAGGTGTGCACTACCAAGCATGGCTAATTTTTTAAATGATTTATTGTAGAACCCCTGAGCTCAGGCAGTCCTTACGCCTCCACATCCCAAAGTGCTGGGATTATAGGCATGAGCCACTACATCTGGCTTGTTGGTATTTTTGAAGTAAATTTTTATTTATTGAATGGATCCTATTCATGCTGAGGATGAGCATTTTAAGTAGGTAGGACTGTCTATGTAGGGGCACATTGTGTCTCCGTGTTCTCTAGGGACCTTGCTATGATTTGGCCACCAACAATGAGTTTCTACCATGAGCTGTTTCCATCATTGCTCCCCCGAGCAGGCACTCAGGCAAGCTCATTGACTAGTCAGTGTTCCTGATCGCATCAGGTATGGTTTTTCCTTGAATCCACAACTGCCCTTTTGATTGGCATTATTACAGAAGAGGAAACTGAGGTACAGAGAGGTTAAGGTACACCAAAGCCAGATGACTAGTAAATGACTGAACCAGGATCATACACCTTATACTTAACCAGTATGCCTTTGCCTATCCTAAATGCAATGTTTTGTCTCATACATCCTAATGCAGCTCAGTCTCAAATGTGGACTTGCTTGGCGCTGGCAAGAGATCAGAACTGAGAGGTCAACAGTTCACACTGTATGACCCGTGTGTTTGTCTGGGTTGGGCTTTGGAGTCATAGGTACTTAGCCTCAGTCTCATTGTTGCTTATCTCTGAAATTGGATAGTGATTCTTGTCCATTGTCTACCTTCTAGAGAGATTTTCTGGGGAGAGGAAGATTCCAGCAGACGAAGGGGGTTAATTAGATTTGTCTTTTATATCCTACATACCTATAAAGGGATTTATGCATCTACAAGGAATTATGGCTTTTTAGCCAAGTTTATAACGATGGTATTATGAGGATGCATGTATTATATGGGACTCCTGAACCTTTAAAAATAAAGCAGTGAGAAGAATAAATTTGTTTGCTGGAGATAAAGTGAATATAACAGGTCCATTATGGGAATACACTTCTGTATTTTATAATCTCAATAGAAAAATCTTTTTATATATAAATATAACCCAATAAAAATAAATCTGTGAAGTGGTTAAACATATTATCATGGAAAATGTTTTAACCGCAGGGAATGGCCCATCTGTCCAATTCTGTCTCCTTTGTTTTTATTCTTCTTCAAATAGTCTCTTCATCAATTCCCTTGTTAGTCAGGAGTGAATCTACCTGTCTCTTAAAAGAGTTTTTTGTTTTGTTTTTTTTGCCTGTTTTTATAGTGGCTTTGAGCTTCTTAGTTGCTTTAGTGGTAGTACATAAACATTTGTTGAAATTGTGTGTGATAAATCTTTATTCATATGATTATAGGATTTATCACTCTGCTTCCAAATGTCATGGGACGATTGAGAAGACGGAAAATAAAAAGAAGCACTGCATTAAATGGGATTCTTTTGATCACAAGTAATAAACTCATTCTAGCTAGCTGAAGTGAAAAAGGAGATTTATAACAAGGGTACAGGAGTGTCTTAGGAACCCAAAGGCAGGAGTGAAGTGGCCCTTGGAATGAATGGGAGCAAATGATGAGGAACACGCCCCATGCAGTGTTCACTAAGCACACACGAGGGCACGAATGTTGGTAAAATGGCGGAGGTTCTTTTCAACAACTGGCTCCCATGGGCACTAATGGAGTGAGAACTCACTTACCCCAGGGAAGGCGTTAATCTATTAATAAGGGATCTTCCCCAGGACCCAAACATCTCCCATCAGGCTCCACTTCAAACACTAGGATCAAATGTCAACATGAGAATTGGAAGGGACAGACATCCAAACCATAGCAAAGATATGTTGTAAAGGAAGGATAGCAGCCTTTTATAAAAATCTCACGTTGATATTTTTGCTAGTTTCTCATTTTATTTTTTTGACGAATGTATCATTTTTTAAAAAATTTTTTGATTTATTTTTGCCACTCAAAATGCTAGATTAGCCAGTCAAATGTCTCGGTCCTTTATAGTTTCATGTTTTGGTGTCATTCTTAAAAAGGTCTTTTCTATCTCTGTAGTATAGTGCAAATTATTCTAGTATCATTTGATTCTATTTTGAGTTTATTTTTTCACAAGTAGGGAGGGAGAGATCTGGGTTTTTCTTCTCCTTAAGTAGCTCACCAACACCGTTTGTTAAATAGTCTCTCATACCTACCCAGATATGATTACACCAACTTGGGTCTGTTTTAACATATGAATCCTCGGCTCTGTGTCTGGATGTTTAATCTGTCTTGTTGAACCATATGTATGTTCTTACTCAGATGCCTGTTTGTTAATTGTGGCGAGGCCATTCTGTTGATTTCCACAATTGATTTTGGTGCTTTTCTGCTTCAAATTGGGTTTCCATGGAGAAAGTTCTCAGCGCCTCAGTGAACTGGGAGCCATAGGGGAAGCGAGGAAACTAGGAGGGACCACTTTACAGCCATGTAAGAGGAATTAAGGGGGAAAAAAAAATGAACAAGACAAAAGCAGCCCCTGTAAACTAATTTAAAAAGAATCAGAGTGCAATGCCTGGGATTTTTGTTTTAGACATAAAGGGGAGGGGACAGAGAGAGGGATGCATGTATTTGGGTTTTGTTTAAATTCAAAGCCATTAAAGCATTCCTACCACAGGGAAGAAGAACATGTGTTTTGTCTCTTTGCCAACAGTAACATAATTTTGGTCTTTAAAATAAGTGTCTTGGGACCTCAATTCCCTGTTGGCAGAGAAAATCCCCAGCCCATGTGTTGTGGCGGAAATGCATTGTTTCCTGAGTCATTTCCTTTCATGCTTAGTGTGGGGGAAATGACCAAATGTATAGGTTGAACTTCTTTTTCAAAAACATGACTTGATTCCAATGATCTTTATTATTATTTTAGGTATTGCTGCTGGAGGCTTCTTACATGCTTCAGGGTATCTTCAGGGAAATCGACTCTTTACAGAAACAGAATTTAAGGTGAGTCCTTTACAAAGGATACTTTATTCTTCCCCATTGACCATCCTCCTGCACTGGCTTAGTTTTACAACATGCTACAATGTTGTCTCTTACACCTCTCATTTGCTCGGCACTGTGATTCTGTGAGGCAGGTGTGGAGAGGTCTCCACTGCTGTCTGATTTTTTCCCCCTTGCAGTTTGGTGGCTTTGAGAGAAGAAGGGATGAGTAGCTGGTTTGTGACCATATTGGACCTTATAGTATGAATTCTCATTTGTTCATGCCTGTTTGCTTCATACATCTTTTGGGAGGGGGTGAAACTTCCAATATCCTTGGAACTGAAACTGCATGTGGATTCCTAGATGCCCTGCCCCCTCTCCCCCAAGGGTTGAGAGACAATTAATTGCTCTAGCATGAGACAAAGTAAACTTTGGTTATAGATTATTGGTTCCCCCTTTGGTTATCCTGGTGGGACTGTATGATCACAAGTTTTGCATATGAAGGACCCTGGTAGAGACGCAGGGCTCTTCTGCAGGCCTTGAGTATACCTAGGTTGGTGTTGACAAGGTTTATGTGTGTGCCCTCGATAATTGTATAGGGCACACCCGGATGTTTCAGTTTTGTTCCTGACTAGCCGCACAACTAAGGATAGGTTAGTTCATCTCTGTCTCCTTGTCTTCATTTGTAAAAATGTGTGGGTTGGCTTAGCCTAGTTATTTCTATACTTGTAGATTTTGTGGACCAGGAAAACAAACTTGCAGGACCCATTTTAAATATACTTGTTGGCTGTGTGTCAATAAGGTTGATGATTGTAAAAGCTGGATAGGTGGGTGGGGGTTCACTATGTCTTTACATTCTGTTCTTCTGTTGGGAATTTTTTTTTTTCTTTTTTTGAGTTGGAGTCTCACTCTGTCGCCCAGACTGGAGTGCAGTGGCTGCTCCCGGCCACCGCAGCCTCGACCTGCTGGGCTCCGGCGATCCTTCCGCCTCAGCCTTCCAAGTAGCCAGAATTATAGGCATGCGCTACCACGCCTGGCTGATTTTTTGATTTATTGTAGAGATGAGGTCTCGCCTGCCCAGGCGGGTCTCGAACCCGCGGGCTCAGGCAATCCACTTACCTCAGCCTCCCAAAGGCACGGGATTACAGGCTGAGCCACTGAGCCCGGCTGGGAATTTTTTTAATAATAAAAGATCTACCATCTGCTCACATAATTTCATGAAAGAGGAACTATTTTATTTTACTTCATTTTATTATTTTTATTTTTGAGTTGGAGTTCCACTCTGTTGCCCAGGCTGGAGTGCAGTGGCATATTTACAGCCACCACAGTGTCAACCTGCTGGGCTCCAGCGATCCTTTCGCCTCAGCCTTCCAAGTAGCTGGAACTATAGGCATGTACTACCACACCTGGCTCATTTTTTTATTTTTATTGTGGAGACGAGATCTCACCATGTTGTCCAGGCTGGTCTTGAACCTGCAGGCTCAGATAATCCTCTTGCCTCGGCCTCCCAAAGTGCTGGGATTATAGCCTTGAGCCACTGTCCCCAGCCTATTTATTTTTTTATTTTTATTTTTTTGAGTTGGAATCATTATGTCACCCAGGTTGGAGTACAGTGGCACGCTCAGAGCCACCACAGCCTCGACCTGCTTGGCTTATGGTCACTGCAGCCTTAACCTGCTGGGCTCAGGTGATCCTTTTGCCTCAGCCTTCCAAGTAGCTGGAACTATAGGTGCGTGCTACCACACCTGGCTAATTTTTTTATTTATTGTAGACATGAGGACTTGCCAAATTGCTCAGGTTGGTCTCAAGTCCCTGATCTTAGGCAATCCTCTTGCCTCAGCCTCCCAAAGTACTGGGATTACAGGTTTGAGCCATTGCTTCTGGCCGAGGAGGAACTATTTTAATACGGAAAGATAGGAATACCATAATTTTGTCTTTAGATAACATGTATTTAGCATTATGAAGAAGCTCTTCATCGCCTTCCTCTTCCTCACTTCTCTGCAGACCAGTGACTGTCAGTCACATACTAACCAGAACTGGTCTGAGAGTGGGATTTGGGAAATATTGGGGTACCTGACTACTCAGGGCTCTTCCGCCCTTAAAATGGCATCATTCCTCTGAAGCAGGAAAAAAAATGTACTTAACTTGTACATTGTCTAGTTTTAGAAAATGCTGTGACAGCTAGTGTGGTCTAACTAGAGAGGTCAGAGGTCAGATGGAAGAGAAGGCACTGTTCTGTTGGGAATCCCAAGTGAAAATGGCTTCTGTATGTGAGCATTACATTTGGCTGTGAGTCATCTTGTGAACAAGGTAAGAAACAAAAAATTGGCAGTGTTGTAAGTAGCTTGATGGAAGGCACGGAGTCCTCCCTTCCTGCCATTGCAGGGCAGCCTCTGGCCAGGTGGTGTAGGACAGATGAGTGCCTCCCTGGCAGGTGGGGATACTGAGAGCCAAGGGTGAGGCAAGCCAGGGAGACCAGTGTAAACCCCAAGTGTGAGGAGCTCAGTGTGGGCTGGAGGTCAAGGGTGCCACTCAGAGCTCCTAACTAAGGAACTCTGATCAGATGTGCTCAGGATAGGGAAGAGCTTTCCTGCCAGGAGTGTCATGTGGGGCATCCTGGGGTGGATGTTGCCCTTTGAGGACCCACCCAGGGTACCAGGTGGTCTGGTCTGGCTTAAGGGCCTGGGGCACAGTAGGCAGGAAACACATCAGGTCTATGCCTTTCCCGAGATTTCAGGTCTGAAAGGAGTGTTCCAGGTGGATTCTTAGGCCGTCTGTAGAGAATGGAAAACCATTCTTCTTTTTGGGATATAGAGATGTGTGTAAGGAGTAGGGTAGGTGGAGCCCAGAGGGAATAATGGACTGAATTATTAGCACACTAAAATTATGTGAGGGGCCGGACTCGGTGGCTCAACCAGTAATCCCAGCACTTTGGGAGGTCGAGGTGAGTGGATTGCTTGAGCCCGTGGGCTCGAGACCCGCCTGAGCAACTTGGCAAGACCTCATCTCTACAATAAATCAAAAATTAGCCAGTCATGGTAGCGCACAGCTGTAGTTCCAGCTACTTGGAAGGCTGAGGCGAAAGGATTGCCGGAGCCCAGCAGGTAGAGGCTGCGGTGGCTGGGAGCGGCCACTGCACTTCAGTCTGAGTGACAGAGTGAGACTCTAACTCAAAAAAAAAAAAAAAGAAAAAGTCATGTGAGCAAGGTGCAACAACAGGTATTCCAAGAAGCCTGCACAGTCCTGGCTGCTTCTGAAAGTCCGGAGACATATGTTGTCTGCATTGACTGAAGTATGGTGGTTCCGTCCTTTGGAATTGCTCCCTCAGTGATTTTTTTTTTTTGCTTTCATTCGTTTTAGCATTTCTGTGTTCTGGAAACCATAAATGAAATTTGACAGACTTACCTGGTTGTTTTCCGTTCCGTCAACTCTTGCTTTACAGCCTGATTGGTATGCTTCAGCTGGATTGCTTCTGTCCAGGAATACTTATTCTCTGCTTTTGGGGTGGGGGAAGGCTGTATCAGACAACAACAGAAACATTTGTCTTAAGTGTATAGGACTATGAGAGATGACCTGAAAGCCCGACATTTCTGAAAATGTATAAATTCATGAGTAATGGCTAGCAGGAGCTTTTATTTTGACATAAACCAGAGAAAGGAGAATTGCTTTAAGGGATCTGGACCCGTCTGTGTCTCAATACAATTTAATGAATGAATAATGTAACCAATCCATCATGTTCTGGAGCCTCGCAGAAAGCCAGGGCATTCTGGATGAGACCTTGTGGGGATGAACAATTAAGAGTCTGAGACAGTCATGCTTTGCAGAAGTCAACATGATGCTTTAAAGAGTTACATGCATGTGCTTTTATTTGTGTGTATGAGAAGGAGAGAGAGGTTGAGAGATGGGGGCAGTAAATGCTTCATTTTGTTGTTTTACATCATGTCTTATGTTGTATTTTAGATTTGAGAATAAATGCAGTAGTCTGAACTTATCTCTGTGTTCCCTACAGGCTTGTAAAAAAAATATTTTAAAATCTATTTTCAATGGAAAACATTGTTTTTGGCTCTCTGGGAATTTTTAGTTCTCACTACTATTTAGGTACGATGTTGAAACTGTGTATTTCAAAGCAGGCTCTTCGTGGCTAGCGTTCTGAACCAGCCGCTTAAGGGCTATGACATCAGTAGAGATGAGTTGTTCCTGTGCTTCTTTTACTTCATTAAAAATGAAAGCTGTTGTGCACTTTTGTCTCCCTGCCATCCTCCACTAGCAGATTTCTCTGGTTGCGCTTGAGGGTTGTGGGCACCATCACCTACCCTCCCATCTGCAGGCCCCCGAGTGCCCGAGATCCCTACTCAGCGTTGGTTGATCGGGGCCCCTGGTCCTGTGCTGAGATCCTCACTCTGCTGCTGGTACTTGGTAAATGTTTCAGAACAACAATAATAGCAATTTCAGGCTGTTTTTCATTATTAAACTCTCTAATTCTTGGTATAATAGGAAGTCCTGTTTCCTTGAGGTTTTCTGCTAATTAGTTCATCAGTCAATTTCTTTCCACGTTAAAAAGCCCTCCTGGAGAACTCAAAATTTGAGCCTTTTCTAAGACCTGATTAGATTTCATGGACTCAATGACGCTGGAATATGTTTGCCTGCATTTGAATATTCTGTTATAGAACTTGAGCCTCTTAAAATAATTACTCTTCTTTTTTAGCTGTGAAATCCCATGTTCTAAAGATCTGAAATGGTCATCAAAGCCATTGTATTCTGTTTTACAACAAATCAGAATTGGACACTTTTCCAAATCTATAAAATAATTAGACCACTTATAAAATATAGACATTACTTGTGATTAAAATAAAGCAAACGCCCTGTAAGGCCAGCTGCAGTGGTCTCAACTCACCATTATAAAGCCTAGTAAAAATTGAGGAAAATTCTGCTGGCATCTAAACAATGGTCCTATGATCTGTGAACAATGGTCTTTGTATTTTGATTATTTACAAAATTTTAAGTCAAAATATTGTATGCAAATG